AAAAAAAAAAAAAAGGGAGTGCAGATGTGGTAATAATGCTCTGAACTCTTTGGGGATGATACTAAGCAGAGGGGTCAGCTTGAACAGTGTCCTGACTTAGGGAGACCCTGTCTGAAAAGCAGAAAGTGTTGGGGATGTACTAGGGAGAAGGCCCTGGGTTCAACCACGGAAACACCCCACCAGCGCTGTGGCTGTCCAAGCACGCAGCAGAACAGTGCTGCGTTCTGCTTTCCCCTTCTCCAGCCACCTCTGCTCGCCATCAGCGCTGTGGAGACATCTGCGTCTGCAGTGAGCAGGTCCACCCAGACCTCTCCTCCTCCATGTTTCAGTGGGATGGCACATACTACGTTCAGGGATGGGAAAGAGAGGAAGACTGCTTTCCAGGAGCTTTCTTTTGCTTACTGTGCAGGATTTGTTTGTTGTTGTTGTTGTTGTTGTTCTTGTGTGTGTGTGGTACTGGGGATCGAACTCAGGACCCAGCACTTGCCAGGCAAGCACTTATTCTACTGAGCTATCTCCCTGGCCCCTATGTGCAGGGTTTTGTAAGACTCAGACTATAGCCTGGGCCACTTGGCCCCTCAATTTCTAGCAGCCTGAAGGACAAGGTAGAGGCCTGGGATGGGGTGAGTATTCCAGTCCACAGGCCAAGCCAGGGACAGGGAGCAGTATAGCAAGCCATATAGGGCCCACTCAGGGCAGGGCCTGCTGGAAGAAGACTAAAAAAAAGGCAACAAATACAGGCTGATTCTTTTTTTTTTTTTTTTTAAATGAGGAGTGAACCCATAGCTGTCACACTGAGCTTCATTACCTGCCCCTCTTCCTTACTTTTATATTTTGAGACAAGATCGCACTAACCCACTCATTTGCCCAGGCTGGGATGACACTTGAGAGCCTCCTGCCTCAGCCTCCCACAGTACTGGGATTTCCGGTGTGTGCCACTACACCAGCCTCATTTATGTTCCTTTCCAGGTTGTAGGAACCCTAGGAAAAGGTGCCCCCCTCAACCCATTATAAAGGTATGAGTGTAGTTTTTGTTTGTTTTAAAAGATAGGTTATTTTAGCATTCTTTGAGCTCTCTCAACCTATTCCTGTGTTCTAGGATGAGGTTCCTGGTCTTTACTTTCCCAGTGAAGCCAACTGGCAAACTCAGGGTCTTCCTGAGGGTTTGGGATGTGATGGATCTCAAAGGAGGACCCAGTAACTTTAACTGCGGTCCCAGAAGTTGCAGTGTTCTTAGAGTTAAAAATTCTTAGTTATGGTTTTCTTTTTCTTTTCTTTTCTTTTTTTAAAGGTGGGATCTAGCCTTGTAGTGCAGGCTGAACTTGCTTGTGTAGCTCAGGCCAGCCTTGAGCTTGCAAGGGTCTCCGGCCCCTCCCAAGTGCTGGGATCACAGGTTTGTCCCATTATGCCTGGCTCCTAGTTACGATTTTTCTCATTTCTTTTTACCTATCTTTTTGCTATCCTATGTCAGATGAAGCTAACAAAGATTCTGGAATCCACACTGATTTGCTGATGAACTCACAATACTATCCCCTACCAGGCCTGGTGGCGCATGTCTGCAATCCCAGAAGATGGAAGGCTGAAGCAGGAAGATCACTGTGATTTCAAGGCCAGCCTGGGCTACATAATTGAGTTCAAAGCCAACCTGAAGTGAATAGTGAGACTGTCTCAAAAAAGACAAGACAAAACAAAAACAAAACTCCCCTTAACCTTGAAATTTATTTTTGACTCTGAGCAGGGTTTGTAGCAGACTCAATCATTCATTAAACATATGTTAAGGACCTGTGGTAGCTTAAGATATTTACTGGGTACTGTGCGGTCCAGAGATGATGGATTTTTAAAAAATCTTTTGTTTATTTATTTATTTATTTATTTATTTATTTATTTTTTGCGGAACTGGGGATTTAACTCAGGCCCTTGCGCTTGCCAGGGAAGCGCTTATTCCACTGAGCCATCTCCCCGGCCCTTATTTATTTATTTATTCATTTGGTACAGGGCCGCAATATGCAGCTCGGACTTGTAGTGATGCTCCTGTCTCAGCTCCCCCAGTGCTGGATTACAGGCAGCGCCGCCATGCCGGGTTTCAGTGATCAGCATGGCGTGTCTAGGGTTCCTGGGGATTGAATCAGGGTCTTTGCACTTGCCAAGCAGGCACTTAGACTGCTGAGCTAACTTTCCAATCTAGAGATGATGGATTTTTATTCCCAAGGAGTTGACAGTATGGTAGGGGAGAAATAAAAAATCAGTCACATACACTATGTTAAGTGTGACAGAGCAGGAATGTAATGATGATTAAGAGCTCAAGCGGGCTGGGGAGATGGCTCAGTGGAATAAGCGCTTCCCTGGCAAGCAGAAGGGCCTGAGTTCAATCCCCGGTTCCGCAAAAAAAAAAAAAAAAAGTAGTAAGCTCAAATTTTTACAGCAATTAACCACTGAGAAGAATATATGCAGTGTGTTATTTGTTGAAACTGTACTTCCGATTTGATTTGAAACTGTCTCATTGCTATCTGTTTATCAATAAAACTTTGGAAAAAAAAAGAGCTCAAGCTTTTGTCTCAGATATGAATTTAGATTCAGACTACAGCTGCGGGTTGTATGATCTTGTGGTAATTTGCTAAGCTTCTCTGAACTTCAATATCCTTTCAGGTCATTGAGAATAATAATAGGCTAGGAGTGGTGACGCACACATGCCTAGAATCCCAGCTATTCCAGAAGGTAAAGCAGGAGGATTACAAATTGTAGGATAACCTAGGCAGCTTTTTCTCTCTCTCTAAAAAAAAAAAATAACACTCATCTACTACATAAAATTATTAAGGATAGCAAGATAACTCAGCAGACTAAGTGCCTGCTTAGGCAAGTGCAGAGACCAGGGTTTGATCCCCAGTACAGCATTGCATTCTGGCCCCACCCTGGGCATTCTGAGCTGGCCACTGAATCTAGGCGTGCTGATACGTGCCTATAATCCCAGTGCTGGGGAGGCTGAAAACAGGAGGATCGCTATGAGTCCAAACTGTGTAGTAAGACTCTGTACCAAATACATAAAATTAAAACAAAAAAGATTATTATGAGGATTAAATTAGATCAGACTTGCCTGGCAACTAATAAATTCCCAATAACATTATTACTTATAACAATAGTATTAAAATTATCTGCACAAAGGTAGTGCCAGGAAATGTTTTCAAGAAAAGGTGGCATTTTAGCTGAACACTGAACAAAAAAAAAAGCTGGCTAAGCCCGGAGGAAGCTATTGAATTGCTTCTGTTTTTTAAATTATGTTCTGTCAGATTTCTCAAAAGATTTTAGGTAAAATAATGACTTCAGTGATAGGTAATTGATTGTGAGAAAACAAGATGTTTTGACCTCCTTATTCTAACCTCCAGTCTAATCCCAAATCCTACTTGTTGCCCAATTATGCAGGAAATGAATATGACTATTAATCTTTTATCACTTGATTTTGAACATTACAGATAGAAGTAATAAAAAGTAAATAATTTGAAGATGCCAGATTATGCCTAATAAACTTGGCTTTAAGAAACTGCCCCCCCCCAAAAAAAAGAAACTGCCATTCGCCTGGTGTATGATGCACGACTGTAATACCAGCACTTGGAGGCTGAGCCAAGAGGATTGCCATGAGTTCCAGGCCAGCCTGGGCTAACTGAGTTCAAGGCCAGCTTGAACTGCATAGTGAGACCCTGTGTCCCCTCACACTCACACACACATAGATGACATTCAAAGGCAGGCACAATGTTTACTGGTGACATCAGTGGCTGGATCTTTAAAGGAGGTAGAGGCTCTCTCAAGAGCTTAAAGGCTACATACGGATCTTAAACTGACTGCTGTATATTAATTTGTTTTCTTTTGGATCTGCCACAAAACAGTGCATAGCAGGAACCTGATAAATGCTCATAGCCTGCTCAGATTCTCTTTAGCTGGGTTACTTGTGCAAGCATTATGCAAAGAGGATTTGTGCCTGGAGAGTCGGTTATTGTGAATGAACAATTACCAAACATCTGAATGAACTCTCACAGCTTGGAGAATGATAATGAGATGAAGCAGGTCTGTCCACACTTGGGCATCATTAAAATAATCATAAGGGTCAGGGAGATGGCTCAGTAGAATGAGTGCTTGCCTGGCAAGCACAGGGACCTGAGTTCAATCCCTGGTTCCACCAAAAAAAAATAATAATAATAATAATAATCATAAGTCCCACCCCAAATAAAAAATACCATATCTAGTTTATAAAAGGAAATGTTTTTATTGTTACATTCTTCCTTATTCACTGAACTTTCATTCATTAAAAATATTTTCCCTTTTCAATTTGCATCTTCAGATTTCTTCCTTGTGCACCTGGTAAGGTCATGGCAGAGCTGGAAGAGGCAGTGTACGAAGACTTGAACTACTCCTACGCTCTGGAGTACTCCCCAGAGTTGGAGTTGGAGGAGGAAGCGCCTCTGGGAGCTGCTCACTGGCTCTCCCTGCTGTTGTGTGGTTTGGCATTTATTCTGGGAATCCCAGGGAATGCCATTGTCATCTGGCTCACGGGATTCAAGTGGAAGAAGACTGTCACCACAATCTGGTTCCTTAATCTGGCCATCGCAGACTTCGTTTTTGTTCTCTTTCTGCCGCTGTACATCTCCTATGTGGCTATGCATTTCCACTGGCCCTTTGGCACGTGGCTGTGCAAAGCCAACTCCTTCATTGGCCAGCTGAACATGTTCTCCAGCATTCTCTTCCTGACTGTCATCAGCCTGGACCGCTACATCCACTTGATCCACCCCGTCTTGGCTCATCGGCACCGAACCCTGCAGAATACTGTGGTTGTTGTGGTAGTAGTCTGGCTGTTGGCAGCTCTCATTGGTGGTCCTGCCCTGTACTTCCGGGACACCCTGGAGCTCAATAACCGCACCCTTTGCTATAACAATTTCCATGAGCACGATCCGGATCTCATTGTGCTGAGACACCATGTTCTGACCTGGGTGAGATTCATCCTTGGCTACCTTTTTCCTTTGCTAACACTGAGCATTTGCTATTTGTGTCTCATCTTTAAGGTAAAGAAGCGAAGCATCCTGATTTCTAGTAGGCAGTTCTGGACAATCCTGGCTGTGGTCATAGCCTTTCTAATTTGCTGGACTCCTTATCATCTCTTTTCTATCTGGGAGCTCACCATTCACCACAACAGCAGCTCCCACCAGGTGCTGCAAGCTGCAGTGCCCCTGTCCACTGGGTTGGCATTCCTCAATAGTGGCTTGAACCCCATGCTTTATGTCCTAATTAGTAAAAAGTTCCAAGCTCGCTTCCGGTCCTCACTTGCCGAGAAACTAAAGTCCACGCTATGGGAAGTAAGCTGCTCTGGCACAGTGAGTGAACAGCTCAAGGTCTCTGAAACCAAGAGCATGTCCCTCATGGAGACAGCTCAGTGACTTAGTGCTTTTCTAAAACTGGAGAGAGGTTTTGTGGCAAGTCCCCTGACAAATACTTTCTTTTTTTCTTTTTGGCAGAACCAGAGATTGAACTCAGGCCCTTGTGCTTGCCAGGGAAGTGCTTCTTCCACTAAGCCATCTCTCCGACCCCTACAAATACTTTTTTTCTTTTTTCTTTTTTTTTTTTTTCAGA